AGCCCGCCTAAGAGAACGATGGTGTGGGCTGCCTACGGGGGACACCACTGGCCTAGGACAGCAAGGGTTTTCTGGGAGGACTGTTGGGGTGGTCAGGAGTGAGGACAAGAACCGTTCTCCAAATGGGAACAGGCAAACCCTGTTCCTGTGCCGGAGCACCCTGGTGAGGGTGCTGCCCTGAGCCAGGGTCCTCACCTCGCCCTTCTCAGCCCCCGCCTACCACCTTGCACAGGGCCCTTAAGGCCAGCACTGCTCTCCAGGGGCCTTTCGACCTGAGCTTCAGGTCCTGTGTCTGCCTGGCCTGTGGTGCCACTGAGGCATGGAGGAGTTGCGCCTCTCCTGCCCTCTGTTTTCTGGGGGCTGTGTGTCAGCTGCTATCCATCTTTCTTGATGTCCCCAACTTTCCTCTCCCATCTGAGCTCTCAGTTGTCCCCAAGTCTTGGGGAGCAGTTGGTTTGAAGGTTGTAGTCAGGTTTGTCCCCACCCCTTCTCTGTGGATCTACTGGGGATGGGCAGGTGGGATTGGGCCAGGGCCTGGCAACCTGGCCAGTGCTCAGCCCCAGGAATGGGTCAGAGTGGCCAACAGGGGCTATTGGTGGACAGGTGGTGGGATCTCCTTTCTGCTGGCCCTTGTTCACTCAGGTCTTGAGCCCTGAACTGGTGGGCAGGAAGGCCTGGCTGGGGGCGGGGCTGGCCCAGGGGGACTAGAGGACTCCCCTAGAGGATTCCTTCCCCAAGGCCTCAAGCCTGTACCCCCAGGCTGGCCCTGCTGCATGCCCTGTCTCCAGGTTGAGAGCAGAGAAGGAGGCGAGGGGTGGAGGTAGGCCCCAGACTCTAGCTTGCCAGAAGGAGTAAGCAGCTCCAAGGGTCTTTTCTGGCGTACCCCGCAGCCTGGGTCAGATGAGACTCGGCTCCCACCCAAGGCATCAGCCCATAGGAAGCATGTGAGCCCCACAATCAGGGACTTTGTGGCCCCTGCCCTCGGAAGGCATAGCCTGCTGTCCCTTGGGTTTAGGGAAAAGGCACTTGCTGGAGGCACTTGCTGCCTCTGAGCAGGTCTCAGCCTGGGCACACCTGGTTGTGCCTAGAGATGGAGGCAGCCTTTCTCTGCTGCCTGGCTCTTTGGCCTGAACAGGAGGTGGCAGTGAAGATGGGGCAGTTCCTGGGTCCTGGAGGGCAGGTACCTTGGGCCTTCTTGGGGGCCCAGCTGGAGGCTTCCACAGGTGGGAGGTGCCATAAGGCTCAGCCCTGCTGCACACTAACCAGCCTTGATGCTGCCCGGCCTGCTGCCCCGCCTCCTCGTCCCTTCAGCGCAGCAGATCCCTGCAGGTCCCTTCCCTCGCCTGCTGCTCCTGGTCCTGACTGCCCCTCTGCACAGGCAGTTCCAGGTGAGGGGCCCCACCTGAGGGAGTTGTGTGGTCCCTCCTGGAAGCTTCCAAGGGAGCTCACTTAGCTGGGGTGGGTGCGGAGCACATGGCCAGTGCTGATGGGGCGAACTTCCCAGATGAGCCTGTGGGGCGGTGGCCTGCGTCTGAACCCTGGCCAGGTCCCATAGGGACACGTGTTTTGGGTGTGGAGGTGGGCCAGCCACATGGGAGGCTCACGTGAGGGCAAGAACCACCGTGCTCCACCAAGGAAGGCTTCCGTTTCCGGTGCCTCTGCAGGGGCTTTGAGTAGGCCCCCACCCCAGGCCTCCTCTTAGCCTTTGATGCCTGCCCCACAGTTGGGTTTCAAAGCATTCACCGCCCTTGTTTGTGTGCCTTGCTGCCGGCTGCAGGCTGAGGTTTCAGTGTTCCTAGGCCTGGCCTTTGAAGCCTACTCGTATTAATCTTTTAACGTTCCCCAACCCCACCCACCTGGCAAGCCCTGGGCACTCCCAGCAGCTTGGAGCCTCGGGGAGAGAACACCCTCAACTAGCAGCTGTAGCTCCTTCCAGGAATATAGCTTGAGCCCCAGGCCTGTTGGCTGGGCCCAGCCCCCACCTTCCTCTGGTGGTGCAGAGGCCCTGGCGGAGAGGAGGAAGATCTAGAGGCCCTGACTGGTGGCTCTCAGGCCTCTGAAGCTCTGATGCTCTCAGAGCCACATGCCCAAGGCGTCAGAGGCATGTGGGCCTGTACACTTCAATTCCCCCACTGGTGCCCAAGCAAGTGAGGCCAGTCCCCAAGCAGGAACCTGCACCCCTGCCCGCTTTGGGGAGGAATTGGTGCTAGACTCCTGGGCTTCAGAGCCTTATTTGAGTGGACATGAGGAACTCGGGGACTCTGGCAGCCTGTGCCCTCTTGGCTTAGCCAGAGGGATGCCCTGCCTTGGCTGGGGCACTCAGCCTGGGACCCCAGAGCTGCTTGGCTCTGGGAACCAGCAGCCCACCTCAAGCCCAGGCCTGCCCTCCCAGGACACTGTTATCTCCCACTGGGTCTGAGTGCATCCCCTCAGCCCAAAGGAAGACCCCTTGCCCAGAGTCCCCCAGTTTGGGGGCAATACCAGGTATGGGGAGTATGGACGGTCAGCAGAGTCATAGGCATCCTCTGTTCCTAGATAGCAGCAGGTTGCCCTGCCCAGACATCCTTGGTTCCCAGACCACCTGTCCAGCACTGTCCCTTCTGACTTGGTTGGCCTTGAAGTTGGCCCCCAGAGTGCTGACTACTCACCCTGCCGAGGGCAGAAGGGTGGGAGGGAAGAGACAGAGACGGGAAATGCAGGAGTCACAGAAATAAGTGCACTTCCAGGTGGGGCTTGGGGCGGTCCTTTGGGTCCCTATCCAAACTGGGCAGGCTGTTGTAGGGAGGAGGTGTGGCCATCTCAGCAGACTGCTGCACAGCCCCTGAGCCCCCTCCCCTTTGCAGGCAAACCTCTTCCCTGCTGCCCTTGTACACTTCGGAGCTGAGGAACCAACAGGTGAGTGGGAGACCACCATGCTGCTGACCCTGGCCAACTGCCTTGTACCATGAATCCCAGCTTATTTGATGCCCAAAGCAGGAAGTCCTGGAGGGTATTCAGTCTGGGGACCTCATGTGGGTCTTAGAGGGAAGGTCTGTACCCAGATGCCTACTTCCCTGCCCAGGCAAACACCCTCCCAGAGCTGAGTGTGGGTGGAAGGTGGGGGAGTCCCCCCCCCCCCCAAGGGACTGAGGGTAGACTGTGCCTCTGCAGGCCTCTACCTGGAGCCAGGGCTGCTGGAACACACCATCTCCCCTTCTGCAGCGGATGTGCTGGTGGCTAGGTAAGTGCCCTGGGTTCAGGGGTCTCCTGGGCAGTGCCAGCCGCATTGACTTTTGTGTCTCATCCCAGGTGCATGTCCAGGGCCACCAGGTCTCCCCTGGTACTGCCAACCCCTGGTGCTGTGCCTCTGGAGTCTGAGCCAGCAGCTGAGGAGGGGGCACTGGGACCCCCTGGGTCTCTCCCAGGGGCAGTGCAACCCATGAGGAGGAACCCGGGCAAGGTGCCCAAGTGGCTGAGGCTGCCAGGTGCTGGTGGTGGGCAGGCAGGGCTGGCTGAGCAGGGTGGGCAAGGGTCCCAGGACCCACAGTCATCCCCGTGTGTTTGTGCTGCAGCCAGCAAGAGGTGAGAGCTGCCATCTAAGAGCCGCAGGACCGGACTCCACCCCACCCCGCCCCGCCCCGCCCCCAGCAGGAATAAAGACATGCTTCTCTCAAGGCTCTCCATCATCCTTCCTAAAGCAAAGGCCCCCAGGCCTCTGTCCCGCTCACTCCTCCACAACGACCAGGCTGGCCCCGAGAAGCCTGGCTGGACTGGTGTTCCTGATACAAGAGTTCTGGTGTCCCCTGCAAAAGGTCTGGGCAGGCCAGACCCTAGGTGCAGTGGCTTTCTCCCTATTGTCACCAAATTAATCTCAGTACTGTACTAGAAAGGAGGAGGAGGAGAAAGTAGGCCACTCCCCTACCCCTGCAGGGCCGCCCTGGGCAGGGCCTAGCATAGGGTTTCCTGATGACCCTTTCCTGGGCCCCCAGCAGGACTGCAGAGCCAGTTCCTGCACTTCCACTAGTTGGAGCCCTTGTGTCACCACCAGCCAGCCCCTCCCTTGCAGATCTCCTGACTTCTGCAGACACCCACCTGCTGAGTGGGGACACACAGGAGCTCAGAGCAGTCCCTTGCCTACCCAGCTGCTCCTTGGACCTGTGGGGCTTATGCCCAGGCCAGCTCCTGCCTCCAAAGGTTCTCCAAGGCTACTCTGGGCCCTAGCAGGAGCAGGCGCTGTCCGTCCTGCCCTGGGGCCTGAATACACACCCTCCAAAGTGCCCATCCCCCGCCAGACCTGAAACCTGCAGGAGTCCAGGGGGCCACAATTGATGCCAAGTGCCCAGTGGTATAGTGGTGTCCCTGCCCTGTGTTCTGACAGAGCAGCTTTGGGTGCTTCAAGGAGGGGACTCCATAGCCCTACAAGGTGCTGCTGGGAACAGGGATAGAAGACCCTGTGTGCTTCCTGAATTCCAGCACAAGTGGAGCTAGCTGGCCAGTCTGAGCGTTGGGACTGCCAGACCTCCTGCATGGGACCACACAGCCTTGCATTGCTGAGGCGGGCAGTGTGCATGGCCTGCAGCTGACCTGTACTTTGCTTGGGGCCATTGGCGAGCAGGGATGGGAGAGGCCCTTTTTCATTTCAGCATGGCTTTGAAGCAGGTACAAGACCTAGAAGCATCTATCTGGTCTCTGGGTCCCTCTCATCCTGTGTATCCTGGTCCTGGCCATAGTAAGTGGGCCCCGTGGCCTGAGACCAGCACATGGCAATGCTCTTGGACATGACTGCCTGCTGCAGCCTGTGAACAGAAGAGTATGTTTTAGGAGAGCTGGCCACATGTGTAGAGGCTCTTGTCTTGTGGCCTGGCCTAGTCCCTGGTGGGCAGTGCACACATGGCATTTGTTGCCCATCCTCTCCTTCCTAAGGGTGTGGCTTCATTCTACCAAGATGGATGAAAGGGGACATGCAGGCTAAGGCTTTGAAGCAACTTGACTTTGGTGACCAGGAAGAACAAGGCAAAGCCTGGGAGAAGAGATGTTGATTTATTGGTGTTCGTCTGTGGGAATAAATTTACAGCTTGGGGGGGGGCGGGCATCCTCTAGGGGAGGCCCATATGGCTAACAGGCTGCTGGTAGGCTCTAATGCTGGGGTGGCTACAATACACCATACACCACGTGGTGGCATGGCTGGGATTGGGAAGCAGGCCAGTCCACCTGTTCCCTGTACCTGCCTGTGTGTCCCAGAGTCTCATCAGCTGGGAGCCACGGGGAAGGGATACTATTAAGGGCACCGAATGCTAGGTCCTTAGTGTCCTTGAAACACTGGAGGAGGTTCTTGGGAACCAGGTGATAATACTGTTGTCAATGCACTGCAGACCCCACAGGCCTCAGAAGACACTCAGCCACCCTGGGGGTGGCCTCAGGGAGGATGAACATCCCTAGAAATCCAGGAGCTGTTGGGGAGAAGGGCACTCAGCAGCCAGCCAGGCACCCCCCAGGACCCCCCAGACTGACCATCCTGCACTCCACGTACCAGCTGAGGGAGCACCTTCTCCAACTGGTCCACGTCCACAAGCACTGCACCCTCTGCCTGGGCCTGGCGCACCCCTCGGACAGCTGCCTCTGATGCCGAGAAGTGAGGGGGTGAAAGTCGGGGGACTGGAGCCCTGGCCCTGCGCCACCCCCTGCACCCACTGGCACCCCTGAGAAGAGCCAGGCTGTGGCTCCTCCCTGTCAGGGGCACAGCTTAGGTGTTTGTGGGAACTGAGAAAAGCTTAGTGTTCACGTTGAAAAGTAAAAGAATTCTGAATGCTCTTTGCTCTTTAGCTGCTGGGCCCTTGGCTCACCCACAACAAAGATCCTCAGAAACTCCACCATGAGCTGCAGTGCATCCCCGCTGACTGTAAGGAACAAGAGAGCCGTCAGGAGACCCTGTCCCCACACCCCCACACCTCCCTTCTCCCGCAAGCTTCCCACTGGCACTCACCTTTGGTCTTGCTATCCCTGAAGTGCAGGTGCAGCAGCCTGCTCACCAGCTCCTGGAGGGGAGGGAGGGTCAACCCCTTCTGGAAGGAATGGGTTGACTTCCAGCTGAAAGCACTGCCACCCCAGGGTCTCAGGATCAGGGAGGCATCTGGCTGTGCTGAGGGGGAAGAGTTTATCCAGGAGGGCTGGTAGGGGGACCTGTGGGACCCCCTTTAGGGATAAGAAATCCCTTTGGGAGCCACCTGCACCCTCGGGGCTCTGGGGAGAAAGAAAGGGAGAGGTTTTGTTGCATCACCCACCCCTGGGGCCTGAGGGGCAGTGGCTCTCCATGAGGAAGCAGAGCCCTGGTTCAATGGGCAGGGCGGAGGGGATGCTACAGCTACCTGCTCCAGAGGCCTGGGAAGATGTGCCCACCAATACTGTCTCACTTGGCACCAGCTGCATGCTGCATAGTGGGTGCTAAGGGGCATCATTGTTCTGGTGGAGGTGACCGGTGTGGTGGGAGCAGGAGTTGGGCTGCAGTTAGCTAGGCAGGGGCTGTACAGAGGCCCGAGACCTGTTAAGCTCTCCTTGGCAGGAAATTGGGTGCCATTTCCAGGTTGTGGGTGGAAGGGCACTGTCGTGGAAAGACTGGGCTGCTGAGGTCTTAAAAGTAGGCTCTGCTGTGGGGCCTAGCTGTTGGGCTTCCCTCTGTGTGGCTTGACACCTGAAAGGATGACACTATTCTGTGATATGGTGAGTGAACCTGGGGGTCAGGGCAGCTGGACAAGAAGAACCCATGCAGTTTGTGGGGCCAAGTGGAGAAGAGGGAGGGCAGCAGCAATGGGCACCCAGGAGCCCAGACAACAGGCTGTCACACAGGGGAGGGTGAGCTAGCACCCACCAGGCCACTAGCATCAGCCACAGGGAGGCCACACCGTCTCACCCAGCGCAGAGAAGCATGGGCAAAAGTGAATGCAGAGGCAAAGTTCTGAGAGCTGGTGAAGAACCTGTTGGGAAGACAGCCCAGTGGCCAGAAGGGGTCCTGTCAACGAGAACAGGAGCCTAGTGCCACCTGCTGGTTCTGCTTATCAAGTGCTATACCAAGAGGGTACTAGAAGAGGCAGAGAAGGCGCCTCCTTCCCCGTTTTCTCCAGGACCCCTGGCATGCTGCCCTGGAAGACCACGCAGGAGAGGCAGCCACTGCCTGGGGCTGGACGACAGCTGCTGGAGTCATTCTGCAGTGACTTCCAGGAAGGCAGGATCAGCAAAGGCACTGTGAACATGCCAAGCTCCGGGGCCCCACCACACAGGCCTCACAAGGCTACAAGTCCCCTCTGTCACCCTCGCTGAGGACGCCTGCGTGTGTGTAAGGGCCACAACCCCAGCTCTAGCCAAAGCCCGCAAGGATCTAGCTGTCCAGGTGGGCTTAATCCAAAGCCCGACAGGCTGTGACCCTCCCCGGGTCTTGTCTCAGGGCAGTGCCCAAGCCGCAGTGACTTTCCCTCTGGGATCCGCAACTCCTCCTCTCCAAGACCAGGTCCTCGGGGGCCGGGGCTATCCCGGCCCTACCGCCTAGGGAACGCCTCCGCGCGGCAGCTTCGCCCGCACACGGTGAGTACGCAGGCCGCAGCCGCCTCTGCCCCGACAGAGCCCGGCCAGCGTGCAGCCGGGCGGTGTGGGACGCCCTGCGGCTCCGAGGCTGGACGGCGCGCCGACTCTTCCGGGGAACCGAGGGGCGGGCGGCGGCCCGGCTGCCTCCGCAGACCCCTCAGTCTGGCCGATACCTCGCCCTTGAAGAGCGCGCGGACAGGCTTCGGGCCCTTTCAGGTGTCACGCTGGGGCTGCAGCGTGAGCACCTTCAGCCCGCCAGCCATGGGTCTCACCTTCCGGAAGCCCGCACAGGATCCTTCCATGACCGCCACCGCAGCTCGCGCTCCGCGAAACCTGCGCCTCAGCCAATGAGCCTGGTCACACCCCTGGCCAATGATACGGAGCGCTTCCCCTGTAACCCCGCCCCCACACCGCCACGTCCCAGCCAATGAGCCGGAGTCCCTAGGCTTGCATTCTGCAGCGCGCGCCCGCCCTTCTCTCTCATTGGTTCTTGGTGAGCAACTCCTCCGCAACGCCTCCTGGGAGTTGTAGTCCCCTGCGTCGTTCCCGGCGTCCTCTGCTCTTCCTGGATACCGTGGCGCCCGGGCAGCGGGAAGTGCGGAGGCTGCTAGTGGGTTCTGCGGCGCGAGGGCGGGCTGGGAGCCGCGGGGTCCGTAGGGTGGGTTCGGGGTACGTGCGACGCGCCTGCCTGCTTCCTTGACCTCCCTTGCCAACCTGGGACGCCCTCCTTGAGCGGTCCCGACCATCCATCCACCTTCCCATCCCACTCTCCTAGGCCTCCCCCTTAGGATTAGCGAAATTCACCCCCAGCCCCCGTCGTTCGAGGCGCCGATCGCGCCCGGGCGCCACGAGTGCCCGCGCTGAGCCGGGTGTTTAGCCTCTGTCCCTCCCGCAGTTAGGTGTAGGCCCCCAGGGAGGAGGCCCCTCGGTCGCCTGCCCAGCTGGCTCATGTGGAGCCTGTCTCTAGGAGCATGAAGGGGAGGCCCAGTCCGCACTCGAGGACATGGAGGAGTTCCGGCGTTCCTACAGCCGCCTGTGCAAGGAGAGTGGGTCCGAACCCCAGGAGGCTGTCCTGCAGCAACTGCACCAGCTTCCACGGGGCCGGCTGGACCTGGCCACGCAGAGCCTGACGGTGGACACCTGCAGGGCCTTGGGCAAGCTGCTGCAGAATCAGACACTGTTGACAGAGCTCGTCCTTAGCGACTGTATGCTGAGCGAGGAAGGTGGGTGCCTGAGCTGCAGGTGGCCTCTGCAACTTAAAGGGCTGGCCTCTGTAGCTGCAGGCAGGGAATTTTTCTGTGCCACTTGATTGTTTCCTCTTCTCTGTATATCCTAAAGTGAGAAAGTGTCCCCTCCCCAAACCTGGGAGCAGAGGGCAGTTTCCCTGTCTAGCTGAGGAAGAGGAGACTTAACGTTGAGGTCTCAGCAGCCCAGTGCTGCCTGGCAGGGCAGCAGATGTTTCAAACTAACTTTACAAGGAGCAAGAAGACTGATTTCCATTGTAAACCCAGAACAGTGGGAACAACAGGGCAGTCCTCCTTCCTGTGTCTGGGGAGATGCCCTGAGATGGGGCCCACAGTGAGGGCTCAGGGCCAGCAGAGGCAGAGAGTGACCACTCATCTCCTTTATCCAGGAACCACACTACTGCTCCAAGGGCTGTGTGCTAACACTGTCATTCGGTTTCTGGATCTGAAGGTGAGCCCGCCTGCACTTTGGGTAGGAGAGGGGGAAATGCAGGGTCCTAGGGTCTGGGTCTTGACAGTGGCCAGAAACCATGTCTGTAAGATCTTCTGGCACCCAGGGCCTCCATGACTCCCTTCTGATTGAACCACACATGTGTGTGTTGAGGGCAGTGCTCCCATAAACGCTGAGTGCACCCGTCCCAGGATACAGGGAAACTAGGTTCTGAAAGGACATGTGCCTTTTCCAGAGCTTGCCTCCCTGCTCTTGTCTACTGCCCGACCAAAGCTCTAAGGGGTAGGGATGTGGAATTCAGAACCTACTAGGGTGACAGGAAGTAATTGGCCAGGCTCTTCCTATCCTAGGGCAATAACCTTCGAGCTGCAGGGGCTGAGGCTCTGGGAAAACTCCTTCGACAGAACCAGTCCATTCAGAGGTACAGCACCATCCAACCCACCTGCACCTCCCAGGTCCCTGTGGCTCGGGGCTGGCCCCAGAGGACATAGTCCTGTTGTCTGGGTTCCACACCCGCTGGTGGGGAGTAGGTGGGTATGAATCACTCAGGAGACTCCAACCTCTACCAGAGACCTGAACCCACAGCCTCTGTAATCTGTAGGCCCTGGGTCCCCCTAGGTCAGGTGCTCCACTGGGCTGAGCACCTCGAGTCCCCTTCCCACAGCCTCACCCTGGAGTGGAACAACCTGGGCACATGGGAAGATGCCTTTGCCACCTTCTGTGGGGGCTTGGCAGCCAACAGCACCCTGCAGCAGTTGGACCTCCGCAACAACCAGATCAGTCACAAGGGGGCAGAGGAGCTGGCCCTGGCCCTAAAGGGCAATGCCACCCTCCAGCAGCTGGGTGAGGCCTTCTGCACTCGGGCTTCCCTGGTGGGACCTGGGGCGTCTCCTTCATCCCCTGCTCCCTCATCCCTCTGCTGCTGGAAGGAGTGGGCTGGGCTTCCTGCTTTGTCGGCAACCATAGGCAAAGGCAGCAACATGGGCTAGGCCAGCTCCCCCACCCTGCCAGGTGCCTTCCATCTAGTGACAACAGGTTTCCTTCCAGACCTGCGCTGGAATAACGTTGGCCTCCTGGGGGGCCGGGCCCTGGTGAACTGTCTCCCCAGCAACAGAACCCTGTGGAGGCTGGACCTGGCTGGGAACAACGTCCCCAGTGATGTCCTCAGAGCCGTGGGTACGGGTGCACGAGGCTGCTTGCTGCTCAGTTTGGAGCAAGGCATGAAGCCCTTTGACAGAGGCCTGTCCACCATGGGAGGGGGCAGCTCAGGGCTGTGGACAGGTAAGCTTATCAGGAGTAGCCCAGCCTAGATAGGCACCAGGAAGATGAGGGAAGAGCAGAAGACCCCCCCCCCCCACTAGGTGCCTGCTGCTTGTTGCTGTCGAGGACTTAGCCATGTGCTCGTTCAGTTCTTAGGACCCCGTATGGGGGAGGGATGTCACATTTCACAGACTGGCAAACTGGGGCCCTGTGACTAGGAGCCCTGGCCCTAGCTAGGGAGGGTATTTTCTTGGCATTTGTCTCCTGGTCATCCTTGTGTTTTTGGCTGTGCATATGAGCCCGGTAGGTATAGGGCCACATGACCTATGCTGCTTCTGCCTGAGCTATGGCCTCTCCTACTGGTGACCCCTCCCCCAAGTCCCTGTGGATGACACCTCAGCCCCAGGATAGCAGATCCACATCTTATAACTCTCCATCTATTGCACAATGCTAGCCACAGAAGTCTGATTATGGGCCCAGAGTCTGGACCATGGCCTCTTCCACACTCCTCTGCCCCAGGGTCACCTCCTCCTGATGGTTCTGCCTAACCCTCTGTCATCTCCAAGTTCTCACTGCTCCTAGCCCTTCCTCCATGCAAGCAGTAGCTGTTGAAAGGGCTTTTGATTTCTACAGCTGCCTAAGTCTTTCCAGAATACCTGTTAAGGTCGTACAGTGGCCCTTAACCTTTGTGGTGGAGGACAGATGCTCCAGGATGGTGGCCACCTTGTGGTGGAGTGACCTCCTCAGATGTGCAAGAGATGCCCCCATACCAGGCACCTCCTGCATCCAGCCCCCCGACCCCTGTACTGGAGGCGGGTGTGTCGATTTGTTAGAGATGGTACCTGCCACAGTGTTGGTTCCCAAATGGCCATTTTTCCAGTATAGCCGGTGCAGGGCTGGGCCAGTCTTCTGCCTTTCCTAAGGCTGAGCAGACACCCACCCAGTGGGTAATACAGCTCCTTCCAACAGAGCAAGCCATGGAGCACAACCAGGACCGGCATACTGCCTTCCAGGAGACCCAGACCCGCACCCACCTGCTCAGCAAGGAGGTCCAGTACCTCCAGGAGGAGAAGTCCAAGCAGGTAAGCAGACACCCTCACAGACCTCGGAGCTGCCCAAGCCCAGTCTGGCTGCTGTGGATGCAGCTGGCTGTGGCCCGCTCTCTACTCCCTCGCACCCGTGCTATACCCATCTTTCCTTCCTCCAGACCTTGGAGCCTCTGAGGCACAGATAACCACCCCCAAGGTGACCTCCTGGTCCTACTTCCTTGTGCCACGTGAGAGCCAGTGCCCCAGCCTCCAGCTCCTCTCTGCAGGGCACTTTTCCTTTGAATGAGGCAGTGGGGCCAGGGGCTGAGTGTTGCCCAACTGTGTAGGTGGGCGTCTGCTCTCCTTTGCTTGGTCAGGGCAGGGCAAGCAGTCTCTGGACCCTGAAGAGGGTTTGGCCTGTTCTGTCCCCAGTTTCTGGATTTGATGGAGACAATCGATAAGCAGCGAGAAGAGATGGCCAGGAGCAGCCAGTGAGTGGGCCCAGGGTTGGGGAGGCGGGGCTGCAGCTCAGCTGCACACCTGGGGTCACTTGCCTGAGAATGAGAATGAGTTGTATTGTGAGCTTCCCCAGGAGGGCTGGAGGGTCAGTGCAGGTGCAACACACCCTCTCAGCTCCGAGTTTGGTGAGCCGCAGGTGCAGAAGGAACCACGGCTGCTCGGCAGGCCAGGGAGGGCTCCTGGATTTGGGCTTCTCAGACCCTCCTCTGCACACAGGGCATCGGCAGCACGTGTGGGGCAGCTTCAGGAAGCCCTGAAGGAGAGGCACTCCATCATCAATGCCCTCAAGGCCAAGTAAGCAGAACACTGGAGCTGTGCCCAGGGGGCAGGGGAAGGGAGTACGGCCTGTGCATAGGCAGAGGCAGTGGTTACTCACGAATGCTCTCTGTGAGAGGTGAGTGCTGGCTGGGTTTGCAGGAGAGAGACCCCCGGACATTGCTGATGGAGTTGGGGCGGAGCTGGCTGGCCCTTCTTCTTGCAGACTGCAGATGACTGAGGCTGCCCTGGCTCTGTCGGAGCAGAAGTCCCAGGACCTGGGGGAGCTGCTGGCCACAGCAGAGCAGGAACGGCTGAGTCTGTCACAGAGGGAAGAGAAAGAACGCAGGCTGGAGCAGCAGGTGGGGCACGTGCGGGTGGGCAGGTGGGGGTGGCAGCAGTGTAACCAGTGGTACTCACCCCACACCCAACTCAGGAAGCTGCAGAACGGGAGTCTAAGCTCCTCAGAGACTTGTCTGCTGCCAATGAAAAGAACCTGCTGCTTCGAAACCAGGTACGAGAGTCATGGGGTCACCACCCAGGGAGCCAAGATGGGGCCAGGCCCAGCTCTGGCCCATGCTGCTGGCTTTCCAGGTGGATGAGTTGGAGCGGAAGTTAAAGTCTCAGCAGGAAGAGCTGTTTCTGACCAGGCAGGAGCTAACCCACACATCAGCTGAGCTGAAGATTCGAGTTGTCCAGGCTGAGGGTAGGCCCAGGCAGGCCTGCCACTGAGGGGACAGGGAGCCCCAGGGATGGAGCATCCCAGAGAAGGTTCATCACACTTTCCTCCTGTGCTTTAGAGCGCTTGGATATGGAGAAGAGAAGGGCCAGACAGAACATGGAGGACTCCGAAAAACTGCGCTTCAAGGAGGTGCATTCTTGGTGCACATCATGGGGCCCCTGGTTCCCTCATCCACCTGGTGCATACAGACAGGCTGCCATGGCCCCAAAGCCCACCCCTCATGGGGTCCCCTCACTGGCCTTGAGTTGCTGATGGCAGGCAATGTGTGTGCGTTGTATAGTGCAATCTGATGTGTGCTCCCCACAGGCAAAGGGACGCCCACCTGCCCTGCTCTGGCATGCATCCTAGGGCACCAGGGCTGGGCTGTGCCCTTGTACTTGGCTCCTACCAGCACCCTCAGGGTGCCCCCAGAGACATGTGCCTTCCAGGGCAGGGATTCCATGGGGGTGGGCTGGAGAGCCTGCACCTCCCCACCCTGACCTCTGACTCCACTCCTGGGCAGGTGGAGCACATGACCCGGCACCTAGAGGAAAGTGAGAGGGCCATGCAGGAGAGGCTGCAGAGGCTGGAGGCTCTGAGGCTGTCCTTGGAGGAGGTGAGCCACGTGGACTGAGGCAAGCTCCAGCCTAGGGTGAGCGAGGGGTGGCGGCTCCACTTGTGTCCCGTCTTGGAACCCTGGTTTCAGCCCCATGGCCCAGAAGGGATCCTGGGCCAGAGCAGGAAGGGCTAGCTTGTGGTGTCGGTGCAGGAGCTGAGCCGTGTAAAGGCAGCAGCACTTAGCGAGCGTGGCCAGGCTGAGGAGGAGCTCATCAAGGCCAGGAACCAGGCCCGCCTGGAGGAGGTGAGGCAGGGCCACAGGTACACATGGCTGGTTGCAGTACCCTGCAAGGCCTGTGGGACTATTGAGCCCTTGGGAATGTGGCTAACGTGGGCAAGGCCAGGGCTGTGGGCCCCACAGCTAGGCCTCTGAGAGGGGAGAGGGCAGCACCAGGAACCAACGGGGCTAGGCTCAGGCCTGGGGTTGCACCAGGGGATGGTCCTGGAGGCACAGAGATAACAAGTGGCACTGTGGAGCCTCCCTCAGCTTGCCCAGAGGTGGGAGTCGGTGCATATGTGTACTGTTGCTCAGGCCAGGAGGCCCTGGGGCAGCAGTGCCTCCCATGCCTGCAGCAACAGCACCTGGCTCATCTGGAGGAGAAGCTGCGGCTGCTGGCGCAAGCCCGGGATGAAGCTCAGGGCACCTGCATACAGCAGAAGCAGACAGTGGCTGAGGCCCAGGCGCGGGCCAGCCAGCTCAGCCTGCAGGTGGAGGGGCAGCGACGGCGCATAGAGGAGCTGCAGCAGGTAGTGGGGTTTCCAGGGATGCAGGTCCCAGGGGTGCCTGCTGCTGCTGCTGGGTCTCATCCCCATACCCCACAGGAGTTAAGCAACAAAGACCAGGAAAAGGTAGCCGAGGTGACCAGAGTGCGAGTGGAGCTGCAGGAGCAGATGGGCCGCCTGCGGGCCGAGCTGACAGCCCAGGAGACTCTGAGGGAGAAAGTGGCAGCCCTGGAACGACAGCTGAAAGGTGCGTTCACACCTGGCCTGAGAGTGAGCAGGAACGGGTCTCAGCGGCTGCCCCTTCTCACTGAGCCCCTCGCCTGCAGTGATCGCGAGTGACCATCGGGAGGCGCTGCTGGACAAGGAGAGCGAGAACGCGTCCCTTCGAGAGAAGCTGAGACTCAAAGAGGCTGAAATCGCGCGCATCCGGGACGAGGAGGCCCAGCGGGCGAGCTTCCTACAAAATGCCGTCTTGGCTTATGTCCAGGGGTCTCCCCTGAGATCTCTGAGTCCCCCAAAGTGAAAGGCAAGGAAAGCAGGATCGCCTTGGGAGAACCGAGGGGTGGCATCCCTCGAAGCATCCTTCCTCAAGGGCAGGCCTTGAGTTCAGGCCTTTTCAACCATGGGGACAAACAAACCTGGCGGCCCATGGGCGTGCGGCCCGAGCCAAAGTGACCCTCCAGCCCTACGCCAGGACGGGTGCGCGTGCACAGGAAGGGGCTGCTGGGTCCCGATCCCATAACGACGCGACGCGGGGACAGTGGCGGCGGAGGGAGGGCGTTCCCACCGCAAGCGCAGTCTGGAATACAGAACTTTTGCTCTCGGTGATGCCTGTTGGCCCAGCGCCTTTCTCTGTGTGCCGCTGTCGACCCCTCGGGAAGGCCCCCGGGGGCGGGGCGGGGTCGCCGCTCGCTGTGGCCGCGCGCGCCTGGAGGGCCGCCAGGTCCCCCGCCCGGGGCTGCAGATCCCCGCGTCTTCGTCTTCGCCGGCGGCTTCCCGGCCGCAGGGGGGCAGTGTCCCCGGCGCCGGGGGCGCCGCCGCGCAGGCCTTGCCCTGGAGTGTGGACCCCGGGTCCGAGCGTCGCGGCAGCTCGCCGGCGCGGGGACGGACTGGCCGCCCCGCCCCCGCCGCGGCTCGCCCGCCCCGCCCCGCCGCGCCGCGCCGCGCTCGGCTGTCTCCGCGCCCCGCGATCGGCGGCGCTCGGCTGTCTCCGGCCGCTCCTCGGCGCTCGGGTCCGCGGCCGCTGCGGCGCCGGGCATTTCTCCGCAGCTCGGCTCGCGGCCGCGCCCGCCGCCGCCCGGCCCCGCGCCCATGCAGGCCATCAAGTGCGTGGTGGTCGGCGACGGGTGAGTGCGGGGTCGGCGGGACCGGGGCGGGGCACGGCGGCCAGCGGCGTGGGGTCCTGGTGGGATGGTCCCTTACGCTCTTGCCCCGGCCCGGCCGCCGGCCCCAGGGGCGGGTGGGGCGGGTCCCGCTTGCGGCCTCCGCCCGGGCACACCTGATGCTGATGGGTCCCCGCCTGGGCTCCTGGTGGGTGGGGCCAGGCCTCTCACCTGCACCGAGCCCTCCGCAGCCCCACCCTCTCCTGCAGCCCTCCCGGGCGCGTGGATCTCGCGCCGGACCCAGGGTTGGGAGGCTCTGCTTCTGCGCCCTGGATGTTCTCCCCCAGTCCCAGGTGGCTCTGGATCTGCTGGGGGTCCCCGGGCCCCACCCCACCATCCCAGCCACCCAAACTGGTCTCTGGCTCCGTGGGAGGGGCTGCCCTTGTTAGGCAGAGGGTGCGAGGCTGGGCCCGCGAGCCACGTGGGCTGGCCCTCTGTCCGCAGCGCCGTGGGGAAGACGTGCCTGCTGATCAGCTACACAACCAACGCCTTCCCCGGAGAGTACATCCCCACTGTGTGAGTGCGTGCGGGTGGGAGGTGCGGCAACCAGCTGTGGGGGCTGAGCGCACACGGGGACTCCTCCGGGCCCCTCATTCGACCCAAGTGGCCCGGGTTGTGGGCCTCCTCAGTGGAGTCGAAGCGCTGGGCAGCAGGCTTAGTTAAGAACCGGAGTCCGCCCGCGGGCTGCTGGGTGGCCTGTCGAGCCCCTGTCGAGCCCCGTTGCCACTTTGCTCTGCAGTTTTGACAATTACTCAGCCAACGTGATGGTGGATGGGAAGCCAGTCAACCTGGGGCTGTGGGACACTGCAGGGCAGGAGGACTATGACCGGCTGCGACCGCTCTCCTATCCTCAAACTGTAGGTGACAACAGGGCCAGCCAAAGGAGCTGCACAGCTCCCGTAGGGGTGGGGACAGGGAGCTTTTGAGCCCTTCCTGACCTCTCATCTGCTCCTCCCTCTAGGATGTCTTTCTGATCTGCTTCTCCTTGGTGAGCCCAGCTTCCTTTGAGAACGTCCGTGCCAAGGTAGGCCAGGCTGCAGGGACCACACTTCCTAGGGAGGGCTGGCCTTGAGCCTCTGCCCCAAGTCAGGGATCTCTTCCTGCAGACCTTAAGCAGCGTGTCCTTCAGGGGCCAACGAAACGTTGTTCTGATTGAGGGGGACACTGAGGGTGGCTCTGGTGGGCACTGCTGTCAGAGGGGCGGACAGCTTCCCCCCCCCCGCCCCCCCCCCCCGAGGTGGGCCCTGACTGGCGGCCTGGTGCGCCTTAAGGCCTTCTGGCCGGGCATTTGTGTTCCCAGTTATTTCCCCAGTGTGCCCCAGAGTGGAGGAACCCAGCGTGTCCAAGGAGGGAATGAAGAGGCCTGGGGAACCGGGGCCTGACCTGGGCAGGGCCGGGGGAGCAGCCTAGATATAGGGGGCCACAGTGCCTGCAGGCTCAGAGCCTCTGTCCCCACAGTGGTACCCAGAGGTGCGGCACCACTGCCCCCACACGCCCATCCTCCTAGTGGGCACCAAGCTGGACCTCCGTGACGACAAGGACACCATTGAGCGGCTGCGGGACAAGAAGCTGGCACCTATCACCTACCCACAGGGCCTGGCCATGGCCCGAGAGATTGGTGAGTGGGTTCAGCATGGCCCAGGTGGGAGATAAAGGGTGTGTTCTGGGGTCCCTGCTTGTTTTCCCACTGCCCCCATCCTCGCTGTCCTTTCGCCGACCCCTTTCTCCCCGACCACTACCCTGCTGTCCCCAGGCTCTGTCAAGTACCTGGAGTGCTCTGCCCTGACCCAGCGGGGCCTGAAGACAGTATTTGATGAGGCCATCCGGGCAGTGCTCTGCCCACCCCCAGTGAAAAAGCCCGGCAAGAAGTGCACGGTCTTCTAGAGTCCCCCCTCAGGCCAGCCTGGGGAGGGACAGCGCCTGCCCAAGTGTGCCCTTGTGTTGAGCTGTTTGGTGTCCGAGTCTGCTGTGGGGAGTGGTATGGGTGGGGAGGGGGAAGCATGGGGACAAGGCTGGGGTGACAGGGTCCTGTCCCCTCTGCCTCCTCTTTCTGGGGTACAACTCCAGCCTTCCCTGGCCCCCATGAGAGGCCAGGAGGGAGCAGGGTCTCCCTCAGGGCTGCAGGGGTGGGTCCAGGGCAGCCCCAGGATGGGCTTCCCTGATGGGTGGGTGGGTGGGAAGGTTCTGTCCACTACGTCCCCAGAGGGGGCGGCCCCTCCTTATTTTATACAATAAAACATGCTCCATCAACACTCCTGCTTCTCACTACCTGTCCTGCCCATCACCCTGGGGCGGCTCACCCCTAGCTACCCCCAGCAGATGCGGAGGAGTCTGTGGCAGCAGACTCGGATACAGGTTCCCCAATGGGACTTTGTGCTTGCTCACACTCTGGGTAAGAGGCACTGCTCCCGGCCCAAAAACCCTCCCCAGACCAAAGCAAGGCAGGTGCCTTTAGCCCCTTGGGATGCTGGCTGACCTGGGGTCTGGGGGGCTGGGGTCTCCTGCAGCTCCCCGGCGTGCTGCCAGGGAAGGTGTGCAGAGGCTGGAGCCCAGCCAGGCCTCATGAAGTCCTGCTGGACCCAGGGCAGCTCCCCACAGCACCCAACCTCCTCTGGCTGCTATTGAGAAGAGGAAGGGCCCAGCCTAACCAAACAAATGGCGGTCAGGAGGAGTGACAGTTGATATTGCTGAAATGAGAGAAGAGGTGGGTGCAGCCCAGGGAGGGCCGCCATAGTCCGGGGCTTGGACTTTACCCTGGAGGCCTCAGACAAACACAGGACTAGAGGGTGCCCTGCAGGGTGTGCCCAGGCAGTTCACACTGGCTCAGGAGGGCTGATTGATGCGTTTTCAGGTATTTTGCTAGCTACTTGTTAACAATAGCCGTCATTAGTAATTAAAATTGCAATTAGTTGTATTAAAACCAAATTTAAGGGCTGGGGTTGTGGCTCTGAGGTTCAGCGCTTGCCTAGCATGTGCGGGGCCCTGGGTTCGATCCTCAGCACCACACAAAAATAAAATAAAGATATTGTGTCCAGCTACAACTAAAAAAAATATATTTAAAAAAAAAATTTAGTCATGAGGCTAAGGCAGGAGGATCGTTAAGTTTGAGGCCAGCCACAGCAATTTAATGAGACTTTGTCTCACAATTAAAAATAAATGGGCTGCAGACATGGCTCAGTGATAAATTACCCCTGGGTTCAATCCCTAGTAACAAAAATACAACACATGGCCGCCTATTTTGTGATAACAGTGTCATCTGTGCCTCGGGATGTTTCCATTTACTACGGGACCTAATAGGGTGCTACTGCCCACCTCTCTCCACTCCACATCCAATGACATTTAGTGAGCAGCTTGAAATAGGGTATTTACACCACAGAAATGGGCAAGCCCACAGCTGGAGCACAAAAGCTGTGGAGTGTTCTAGTATGGGGCGACAGTTGTCAAATCCAACCAGGTCGCTTGGGTCACCAGTGAATGGGTGGGGTTTGACGTGCCTCTCCTGGTTAACTCCAGGGGAGGCCCACAGTCAGGTGGCTGCAGCTCCCTGCCACACAAGGCCAAAGGCCACCACTCTAGGAGCCAGCCTTCATGAAGACTTCACCTCCCAGCTCCTGCCAGAAGGCCAGTCAGGCCTGAGTCTCAGGTGTGAGAGCCAGGCCACCACCTGGTCTGGCTTGTGAATCTGCTGGGCCTTGGCCTCCCTCGGAATTGGCACACAGGGAGCTGAAGAATGAGGTTTATTGGAGGGCAGGGGAAGGCTAAGTATGGGGCTGAGTGGGCGGGCTCAGGTAGCTAGGAAGCCCCCGTCCACGGGCACAGTGGAGCCTGTGGTCATGCTGCTTCGATCACTCAGCAGGAAAAGGATGGTGTCCACCACATTCTCCATCTCTGTGGGCGGGGGGGGGGGGGGGCGTGTCGGGCACAGACAAGGGGCTGGGGAAGTGGCTCAGTGGCTTCCAGCCCCAACCCCAGCAGGCACAGGCCACTGGTGCTGCTTCACCTGGCTCAGCCTGACTCACCTGCAAACTTGCCAAGTGGGATGCGGTCCAGCATGCCTTTGGCCTTGTGGGGGTCATTCCAGTTGGCCTGGCCCATGGGTGTCATCACCACTGTGGGGTTTACTGCATTCACTCGGATCTGCACAGGGACAGGCAGGGATCAGCAAGGCCAATAGGGTGCCCTGGGCATGTGGGCTGGATGGTGGGAGGTGCCCCAGCCCAGCTCACCTTGTACGGCCCGAGCTCTAAGGCCATCACCTTGGTCAACATGTCCAGAGCACCCTTGGTAGAGCCTGTGAAGAGGGACATCTTAGAGTCCAAGCTGGCCAGGCTGGGGTGGAGCAGGGGCCAGGTCACAGCCAGTCACTCACAGTAGACAGTGTGATTGGTAAGTGCACGCTGGGAGGCCTGACTGGAGACATTCACAATGGCCCCGGGGGCTCCCCGTGCAATCATGCCCCTGGCCACAATCTGAAATTGCAGAGAGACAGGAGGCAGAACCAGCACCATTCTTCAGAGTTCCTGCTCCTACCAGGCAGGGCAGCTCACCTGGGACACCTGGATGACAGCCCTCAGGTTCACATCAAAGGACCTAGTGGCAGATGCAGAGTCCTAGTCAGGGACTTAGGGCTGCTGCAGGGGACATCCCCTTCCTGCAGTGTTCCACTACCCCAGCTGGCTCACGTGTCAAAGGCCTCCTTGGTGACCTCCAGGAAGGGCTGCAACAGTGCCACGCCAGCATTGTTCACCAGCAGGTCCACGGGGCCCACGCTGCCCAGGGTGTGCTCAGTGGCCTCCCAGTCTGCCAGGTCCACACACAAGGGCTCCACTCCAGGACACTGTATTGGGATGAGGCACAGCTACCAGCGGCTCCGTGCCAAAGAAGGGGCACAGGTGGACGGCTGCCACCTGAGGGAAGGAACTGGGCTGGGAGGAGTTGGGGCTGCAAAGGGCTTTCAGCTAGAGGAGCTAGGGGTCTCAGCTGCCTACGGGCAAACCGGGGCTGCGCTTCCCCGGAGCTGGGCCCGCCTCCATCCAGTTCATTTCCTCTCTGCCCCAGCGATCCTGGCGCAGGGCCAGGTCAGAAGACACTTCAACCTCATCCAAGCCCAGGGGGCCAAGCCAATCTACCCCCACCCCGCCAGCCACGCAAACCGCGCCTCCTGAGAGGGGGTGCTGCGGGTCCCTGCCAGCCCGGGCGCCAGGCGCCTGGCCAGAGGCGAGAAGCACCGTGCCCACGAGGGGAGGCAGGGGGCCCAAAGGGACCCACTCACCCGCTTCTCCGCAGGGCTGAGACTGTAGCGCCTACCTCGCGGACAAGGCTATCCAGGTCGGCCTGGGTCCGGCTCACAGCCACCACCCGTACGCCCGCCGCATGCAGCGCCTGGACCAAGCTGCGCCCGATGCCTAGGGCGAGCGCGGCTCAGTGCCGGAAAACCTCCGCCAGCCACCCCCCGCCTGCGCCTCCAGCCCGCCTTCCCCTGTCCCGGCCCGCCGTCCACCTTTGCCAGCGCCGGTGACCAGCGCCCGACGGCCCGCAAGCCCCAGCTCCATGGCGACTCTTCCTGGGAACCCTGTGCTGGGCCCCTGGACTTGGAGTTCTGGCGGGGGCGGGGCGCTGCAAGACCAATCACAGGGCGGCTTCTGGGTAGGGGGCGGGGACATTCTAATAAAGCCCCCTCCTGGGAAGAGGAGAGGGCAGAACGGTGGAGAGGCGGAGTCCCGGTTGGCCCTGGGGCGGGCCTTTTCAAACTGCCCACAGATTGCACTGCGCTCTAATCTGGTTTAGCGAGTCCCAATTGGCAAGTTTTTCCCTGCCAAATTTATTACAAAATAATAATAATAATAATAATAATAATAATAATAATAATAAAAATAAGGTAATGTCAGAAATAACGTGCGGCTACTCCTGTAATGGAGAACACAGTACTGACAGGTGCAAAAATGTTTCACCCCTCCAGCTTCCAGAGGCCCGGAGTGGGTCTTGTTGGCTCACTTGTAATGCCCAGAAAGAATTTGGACGACAGAATGAACTTGCCAACAGGGTTCCACGTTAGCCTCAAAGGGAGTTAGTTGATCCCAAGGCCACCCCAGACTGCCCATCAGGCCACCAGCACCTTTAAAAGTAGATAGAAAGGAAGGGGGTGGGATATAGCTCAGTTGGTAGGTGCTTGCCCAGCATGCACAAGGCCCTGGGTTCAATCCCCAGCACCAAATAAATAAATAAAAGGGTTAGGACTGGAGTGATGGGAGGTATGTGGAGGCCAGCAAAGGAGAGTACTGCTACCTGAGTCCTAATCCTCAGTTACCGTGTACATGTCCAGGGCTGTGCTGGATCACTCTACAAAAGCTATTTTGTTCTGTTGGTCGTGGTGGGGAAGTCCAGAGTCACTACTGTCCTGATGACCTTCTGTAGTAGGGAAGTGGTAATATATGGGGCTTTGGGGTGGACAGGATGGAGGCAAGGATGGCCAGGTGAAGCAGGACGCTCAGATTTTTTTTTAAAAATTAGGTAAGAAAGTGAATTTTTAGAAGGTAAAAAATTGACATCAAATATGGAACACAGATTTGAGAGACCCTGGAAGACGGTCAAGTACACTCTCCCCACAGGCCTGGCTTTTAGCCTGCTCATCACCCCCTGTAAGGTCCCTGTAATATCTGCCTCTGTCCCTAACCTTGGACCCTGCCCTCTGCCTGCCAGAGACCAAGGGAGGGACAGCCCCTAAATGGTCCTTCCTCAGAGGCACCTCTGCTCATATCCTTTCAGTGGTTGGGCCTTGCCCCCTGCACAGTGTCCGGATCTCATCAGTTGTATCAATTGTCCTGGGATCCTTGGCCAAACAGGCCAAAGTAAGCTTCAGCTCAGACCATGCTGTTACCAGTCAGAAGTACCCTCCCGCGACTCCCACCCCACCGTGCCCTCCCAGCCACTTGCCTAGACGTCTCAGCCCCAGCCCCTCGTTCTCTGCTTCCTTGCCCAGGGCTGGACGTTGTGCCAGTGTCTCCAAAATGCCCGGGCCGTGTACCGGGCAAGCACAGCTGAAACCCCACAGGGCCTGCAAGCCGCTCTGGCCAGCCCTGCATGGCAGGGCTGTTGGGCTTGATTCCGCCTGACGGTCAGTAGAGCAGATAGGGCGAGCGCGCTTGGGCGCCCTCTTCCGGTGTTCTTGGCGGGAGGTGTGCCCGGAGCGGGTCGGGCGTCCCAGGGAGAGGATGGACAGACTTGATCCACCGCCCGCCCCGCTGCCTCTGAACGCTGAGCTCCTCTGGCCGAGCGTCCTCCCGGGTCCAGCACCTCTCCCCTCCCCTGCACCCTGGGTGAGCCGCAGGGGAGGGAGGTCGCTGCAGGCTGCTCCCTGCCTTTTGCCTCTGCCCTGGGCTGGATGAGCATGCGGGAAGGGGTGTCTTCCTTGCGAAAGAACCGCAGCCCTTTGGCCACGAGGCGGGGTCAGCAGCTTTCAGGGCGTGCGGTCACTGTTCCCCACGCCCAGCGTCGCAACGCGCCCACCCAGAGCGCTGGTTCCGGGAAAATAGCGTCCATTTATTTATTTAGACAAAGAGGCAGCGGTGGGCATGAGGGCTCGGGATGCCGTGGTCTGTGGGGCCGGCACCGTGGCGCGCAGTGGGCCAGGACTGGGAGACGTGTGTGTGTGTGTGGGGGGGTGTTGGGCCGAGAGCGGGGCGTGGCTAGGGGCAGGGCGTGGGCGGGGCGTAGGTTGAAGGTGGGGCTTAACAGGGGCGGGAGCAAAAAGGTGGGGAGGGCTGGGCGTGGTGCCCCCCCCACGACGTGCGCGGTGGCGGGCGTGGAGGTGGGATGGGCCGTGATGTGGAGGCGGGGCTTGCGCGGGGCGGGGCCAAGAGCCGGGCCTGGGAGGGGCGAGCCGGACAGCCCAGCCAGCGGGTGGCCCCGCCAGCTGGCTTGCTCTAGGAGGCCAGGTAGCCGGCGTCCACCAAGATGCTCGAGCCGCTGGTAGAGGCGCTACCGTCGCTGAGCAGGAAGAGGATGCTGTTCACTACGTCCTCCACCTCTGCGGGGCGCCCGACCGGTCAGTATGTCGGGCTCAGCCGTCCGACACGCCCCACCCGCGCCTGCCTCCCAGACCTGCAAACTTCCTCAGTGGGTGGCGCTCCTTCAGCTTTCGGGAGAACTCAGGTTCAGTTGAGACTTTCTTGCCCATGGCCGTCAGAACCACCGTGGGATTCACCGAGTTCACTCTGATCTGGGACCAGGGACCAGAGGTGGCCACCTCAGCTGGTGGTTACTAACCCTGCCCCTTCACCCACGACCTCTGTGTCCCTCTAGTGCCCCCTCAGGCTTGGCCCTCAGTCCCCATTCGTTGGCTCACCTTGTATGGCCCTAGCTCCATGGCCATGGCTTTGGTCAACATGGTCATTGCACCCTTGGTGGAGCCTGCACGGGGACAGCATTGAGAACCCCCGAGGGACTGAGCCCTCCTTCCAGGGAGGCCCAGCCCCAGAGCCAGGGGCTCTGCACTCACTGTAGACAGCCAGGCTGGGGAAAGGGACGTAGGCCACCATGCTGGAGACGTTCACAATGGATCCTGGCACTCCCCGGCCTATCATGCCTCGGGCCACGATCTGTAAGCCAAGAGTGGGGCAGCTCACCTCACCCTACCCACCCACCCCATGACTGGCTCACACCTCCCGCAGGCTCACCTGAGACACCTGGAACACAGAACGCAGATTCACATTGAAGGACCTGGCAGGAGAGAGGGACCAGGCTCTGCCCACCTGTGCTAGGTGGCCTCTCCCAGCCAAAGCGCTCTTCCCCCCTCCTACCTGTCAAAGGCCTCCTTGGTGACCTCCAAGAAGGGCTGCACCAGGGCCACAGCAGCATTGTTCACCAGCAGGTCCACAGGGCCCACACCGCCCAGCACCCGCTCCGTGGCCTCCCAGTCTCCCAGGTCCACACACAAGGGCTCCACTCCAGGACACTGTGGGAGACGATGCATGGAGGCCTGTGGGTGGTTCCAGCAGGCTCCTGTGGCATCCCTGAGGGTGTGGAGGGCAGGCCTGGCCCCAGCAGGGCTGTGAGCCTCACCTCTTTGGATAGGCTGACCAGATCAGCGTTGGTGCGGCTCACAGCCACCACTCTGGCTCCTGAGGCATGCAGGGCCTTCACAGTGTCCCGTCCAATCCCTGCAGGATGGGATTCAGTGGAGAGGTGGCCCTACACACCTGGTCAGGGCTGGGGTGAGGGGAGCAGGTGCAAGGGAGAGTTGCAGCCCCTCCTGCCCTGGAATGAGCAGGGAGGTGATGCTGGTCAGAGGGCAGTGGGCCAGGATGAAGTGGAGCAGGGACTGACCCGAGTCAGGCCCAGGGCAGCTCCCTCCCACTAGGCCCAAGGGAGAAGGCTGTAGCTGGACCCCCATCTGCCAACCTGGGTCTGGGCTGAGGCCAGGGTGAGCTCTCCCGTCTATGTGGGCTGGGGAGGGACTCCAGCCCGGGGTGGGTGCAGTCAGGTGCTGGAGGGTGAGCTGTGACAAGGTCACCACGGGCCTCTATGTGGCTTGGTGTCTGGTGGCCCTGTTCTCCCCAGCACCTAGCACTCACACACTGGCTCACTTACCTTTCCCTGCCCCTGTCACCAGAGCCCGCATGCCGCTAAAACTCAGCTGCATGGTGCTGCCTCTCAGCCTGGTCGTGCAGTTAGGGGAGGACTTGGGTTTTTATAGACTTGGCCTGGCAGGCAGGGCAGGGATGGGACCAGAGCCAGGGAGGCCTGGCAAAGGTGGCATCACCCACTTCCTTCAAGGATGGCCCTCCTCACTCCCTGACGTGGCAGTCAGATGCTTTGTTGGGATTTGGAGAATAAATTTTAAAAAACAAAGTGTGTGTGTGTGTGGGGGGGTAGATACAGAGAGTGATGGAAAGTGCAGGAGGGCTGGGGGTGTCTGTTGCGAGTCTCCCTGAGAACTCCCTGGGCCTTTCAGGTAAGGAGCCCCTAATGTAACATGGCGGCAGGCAGATTGCCAGTGGGCGGATAACAAGTTGTTTTGAAAGTTTTCTAATTGGTCCTCCCATCTTCTGTGCCCGTGGACAGCTCGTGCCCCCATGAATCTCATGCAGGGCGGACGTGCGGGCACCGTGGGTGATGACCTGACCTTTACTATGACTGGCCCCGGGGGCTTCCTGGTTTAAGATAACTGACTCTCACTTTCTATCTAAGCTAGCACCAGCTTACAATAAAGTGCTTCATCTTTGTCACTGCTATTTGTGTGTGCATTTTAATCTCCGATGACAAACCTTGGCTTTTCATTGGTGCCGAAACCCGGGAGGGGAGATTCCTCATTCTGAGGACCCCCTCTCTCAAGGTTCGCCGTCCTCCTTCACCTTTTTGAGCGCTGCTACATTCCACCCAACACCGGCTCTCCAATAGGTGACTCCTTCTGATCGACAACCGGTGACTCCCCCTCCCCCTCTTTGGGAATCCATCTCCAAACGGCTATATGCAAGGCCTTGGCTGTGATCGTCCAGCAAGGCCCTTGACGCCTAGTTTGGAGGAGAGAACGCACCCCACCACAGCTTTCACAGTTACGGTGGACTCTCTGGATGCCCATTTCATGGTTGATGAGCTATAAGGGACAGAAGAAGAGGCACTCCCTGACTCTCTTTATCTAAATTCTCCTTCACCTCTCCTGGGAAAAGCCCTGACGTCAGGTGGCCTGTGACTCCCGGCCTTAAGGTCTCCCTGGTTGGGCTCTTGGGTGACGACTCATTTGCCCTCCCGGCCCCGACTCTCCCGAGTCTCTTTGGTTGACTTCTCCTTTCGGGGACGCCTGTAGGAAACTCAACCAAAATCTGTTCCAGTCCAGGCCATTCACCTCTTCTCTTCCTGCCGAGAGTCATCATGGGAGCCTCTTCTTCCCTCCCCCTGATTCCCCTCTCAAATGCTCCTGGCTAATCTTAACCGGTTGTCCCTCACTCCTGACATCAAACCCAAACTCCTTATCAAATTCAGTTCACAAAATTGGCCATAGTACCAGTTAGACAACCAAAACCGATGGCCCCCAGAGGGGTCTCTAGATCCTCAAATTCTTCATGACCTTTTTAACTTCTGAGAGTGCTCAAAAAAGTGGAAGGAGACTCCCCTATGTAGATAAACTTCCTCTTTTCATATTGCCCTGTTTTACTTGGCCACTGGCTGGAAAAATCAGCACTCCAGGTGCTGGACATCCCCTTACTAGTTTTTCACAAAATATGTGAACAAGGCCTCTGGCCTTGAGCTGGGCTTCACAGAGATGTCCACATTTCTAAGATAAGGGAGTTACCAACTGGGCTCCATGGGAACAGCTGGCAGGGGGAGGAAAGAGAGGGGAGAAGAGGCTCTCCCCCTCCCAGGTGTTGTCCTTGAAAAGGTAACTTGCCCAGAACAGAGAAAAAAAACAGAAACAAAAACTGCTTTTTGTGAACTTCTGCAGACTGTGAACTTCTGAGCCCCCTCCCTTACATGTTGGATACAAAATTCTGAAACTACCTAAACTTGGGGTTCAGGGGATTAATTGATTACAGCAGAAGATGTGCCCTCTGAATCCGGTTGCAACCAAATAAAACTATTTCCCTATCTTCACTGCTATCTTAGGTGCCTTGCTTTGTCCGTCCCTACAACACTATGATTCTATATACTTAAACATTGATTTTATATCACTTAATGTTCTATAACTGGACCTGTTATCGATAAGATTAATATAAAGTTCTATACACTGGGTGCAATTTAAATATAATATCATATATTCATGTGACATCAAGCAACAATATAAGTAAACATTATAAAATGATATTTAAAAACAAATATCAGCTTCAATACTAGAACACTTTACCTAAGATTTATAAATCTTAGCCTTACCAGAGATAAGGGTCTGCCTCCCATCTTACTACATGTCAGAATGACTCCAAAGTAGGCCAGACTTCAGCTAAAGCCCAGTACTCTTAATTTAAGGTGAAACTGACTTTGCTGGATGTTTAAGATCAAGACTTAAAGTTAAATTAAAATGGCCAAGAAAACCAATGTTTGGCTCTGGCCCTCTGAGTCAGTCTGAATCCAGGGAACAGGGAACTTCTCTAAAGAGCTTTGCAACTCTGGGCCACATAACCTCCCGATCAGGGAGATTAATGAGACCACTGGAGAATGAAAAGCCAATCAGTGCATTTGCTATGAAGAGGAGGGTCATTGGAGACAGGAGACATCCCTGATGCTTCCAAGGGAAGCCACATGGTCAAGGAAGACCTGGACCCATCCTAGCGCAAATGGCACTAGCAGAACTGAGAAGCTGCTCTCAAGTCCCCCCACGAGCCACCCCTATGGGAACTCGGCTGACTCTTAACAATAGATAGAAACAAAGTCAATTTTGACCAACTTGATCTTAAACACCTACCAAAAACAGTTAAGCCAAAAAGTCATTCCTAGGAGTAATAAAGGACAAGAACAGCTAGAAAAGAGGAGACAGCGACTAAGCCAGCAGGCTCCATGGGGAATGTTCGGTCATGGCCTTGGCTCCTCCCCCTCGCAGGACCCCAGTTAGTCCTCTTTATGTTTCTCCTAATAGGACCAATGATAGGACCATGTCTATTAAATTGCCTACAGAAGTTCCTGCAAGATCAGATACACAAATTCACCAACCAGTCAGTCAATCAACCACTTCTTTAAGACTGCCAGCCCTGGTGCCCAAGACAGAGACCTACGACTCATGACCAACTCCTCTGGCTCCAGAGACTCTGTGCCCATCTAAAACCCTCTCTAACCCCCTTTTCCAGTTTTCACAACCCCTATTTCACTTCCTAGGAATGAGAACTACTCTCCAGCAGGTCCACCTGTTTATTCTGTCTGCTCTACAGCATCCCCACAAGGAAGCGTCAAACCTAAACTCCCCACACCCCAGATGAGGAGCCACCAGCCAGGCGAAGACTGGTAGATCAACTTCACTCATGTGCCTAGGCACAAAAAGCTTCGCTACCTACTTACTTTGGTTGATACTTTTTCAGGTTGGATAGAAGCCTTCCCTACCTCCAGGGAAACAGCTGACACCGTAGCCTCCATCCTCATTGAGCAGATCATTCCCAGGTTCGAACTTCCCGCCTCTGTCCAGTCAGACAACGGTCCAGCCTTCCCTTCTCAGATTGCTCAATAGTCTCCAAAGGCCTCAACATCACTTGGAGGCTCCACATCCCCCACCAACCCCCATCCTCGGGTAAGTTCGAGAGACCTAACGGCATTCTCCAGGATCATCTCACTAAACTCGCTATTGAACTCAGGCTGTCCTGGCCCAATCTCCTGCTGTTGGCCCTCCCCTGAATTCAGGCAGCCCCAAGGCCCCCTCAGACCTGAGCCCCTTTGAACAACTCTATGGGTGCCCTGTCTTAACCACCCAAAGCTTTCCCATCACTCCTCCCCCCCCGTGTCCTACCTGCCCTATCTCACACTTCTGCACAAACTCCTAAGGGAACACGCAGACCGGTGCCTTCCTGCGCCATTCATTGCCTCAAGCCCAACACAACCAACCAACAAGCAGAACTTATAGCCGCCACAGGAGCATGTGAACTAGCAAGAGGGAGAAAGCTTTCTCTATACTCTGACTCCAAATATGTCTTTCATATACTGGTTTCTCATGTGGCTATCGGGAGGGAGAGGGGACTCCTAACGACTAAAGGAACTGCTATTATAAATGCGGCCTTATTTCTAATCTGCTACGGGCTTCCACGCCGCCTTTGCAGCTGGGAATAGTCCACTGTGAAGCCCATCAGACCGACTCTTCTCCTGCCACAGTGGGCAACTCTAAAGCTGACCAGGCAGCCTGGTCAGCCGCCCTACAGGCCCCATCCTCTTCCTCATTACTCCACCTTTCCTCTGAGGAGCGACCTCCTGACCCTCACCAGCTCATTAGATTCCTCCATTCACTGCTCCATTCTAGCCCCCAGAGCTTATCGACTTTCCTTCAATCTTTTTTTCCCTCTTTCCTCCGACGATCGGACCTTTCTGCAACAGGTTACATCCACATGCCAGGTCTGCCAGAGGACCAATACCAACACGCCCTTAAAATCCAGACCCTATCCTTCTCATCAGGCCCGTGGTCACACCCGGGAGCTGATTGGCAAATTGATTTCACAAACATGCCCAGAGTAGAAAACATCGAATATCTCTT